TGTGTGAGAGAGAGAGAGAGAGTCGCCCGGCTTTATTCAGGGACCCGGCTCACTGAGACCTGGTTCAGTATCAGAACGTGTTGTTTGCTTGAATCCGACTGAGCTGAGAGTCTAACAAACATTGACTATAGTGATTGTTGCTGACACCACGAGTAGAGCCACACCTGTCTCTCTCTCTCCTCTCTCGTCTCTTTCTCTTTTCTTCTTTCTCTCTCTCATCTCTTTCTTTCTCTCTCTTCTCTCTCTCTCTTTTGTCTCTCTCTCTTCGGCTTTCTCTTCACTCCTTCTCTCTCGTCTCTCTCTTCCTCTCTGTCCTCCCTCTTCTTCGTTCTTCGTGCATGTCTAATGGATCTATTTAAAGTCTCTTCGTTAACGCGACGATGCTCATTCCCGTCTGATTCTGTCACTCTTTCTGTTTCTCTCTCTCCGGCTTTAAATAGAGATTTACGTTTGTTTCCTCTGGTTCTGGTTGTCACACTTCTCGTGTTGCCCTGCGACTGAATCAGGAGCACCGCAGAACATATATCACCCTCCCTCCCCTCTCCCTCCCGCTCTGAATCAGGGACCTCCCATTCTCTCCCTCACTCTCACTCTCTGACTCTGTACCACACTCCCTCTCTCCCTCCCTCCCTCTCTCTCTCTCTCTCTCTCTCTCCACCCAGTTTCTCCTTGACGGTGCGTCCTATAGCGCTGAGTACAGAGAGCAGCACTGTGCTGACGCATTTTCTCCTACCTGCCCGTACCTGCAGGAACAGGCAAGGAGAGACACATTTTTTCCTCTCAGCCACAGTCCTCTCTCCCGTTTCCTCCGCACTGGCTGGCTTTCCTTCTGGAATACGAATGACTACAGCAGCTTCCCTTTCTGCACCATTTCTCCTTGCAGCTTTGTGCCAGAAGGTAGCACAGTCTCACACAGCCACCATGGGAATGTAACCTTGTTGGACGGAGGGGGGTTTCTCAACTTTAACCTGGGCCTTGTTTTAGAGAGGACGCATCATCATCATCAGCTCCGGGAGAGGACGGAGAATCTCACACCTGGAAAACAAACTCGGTATTATCAGCGCAGATGATCTATGAGATGGAAACAGATAAGTGAATGTTGAGGATGCTCGTTACTTCTGTACTCGAGTAGTTGTACTTGCTTGGAGCCGGAGAAACATGGCAGAGAGACCTGTTGGCAGATAGCGCAGCAGTGTTTCAGTAGTAGAACTAATAGTGAGTAAGAATACCACAGCTGATCTTGTGCGCATCGAAATAGACATTAGAGAGCTTCGCCATTCACTTCAGGCCGACAGCCTGGAGCCTCCACAGTGATGAGTTGAGACAGAGTCCGGACGGCTCCAGCGGGACTGCACTGCAGAAAGCAGTTTGGAAGGCGAACCGAGGAGAGGCTCCGTCCTGGAACAGGGTCTGAGTGGCGTGCTGCAGTGCCGTAAGCAGCATCACAACATCACCACACTGGACTGGCTGAGCTGTTGTTGCTGTCACCTCCCTCACTGCTGCAGTATTGACCCAGCGATCAGTGAACATCTTCTCTGGACTGCCACCTCTCCAGCGTAACCGGACTCTAATGCCGCTGTGATAGCGAGGGTCACAGATTCTGACTCAGCAGGTCTCACCGGCGGCGGGTTTGTGATGGAGTATCTGGGGGACAAGCTGTCA